CTTATAATACCTTGCCAGCCTCCTTAAGCAGGTCCCCTCCCTTCTGCCACATCCTCCCACATATCACCCCGTATTCAAGTCTCCGCACCTCCTACCTTCCAAAAAGTGATCCCTTTTCTATTTGTAGAATTGCAGCATTTTTTTTCTCATACCTCTGATTGATTTCACAGGTGTTCAGTATACTTCAATAACTATCTAGCTATATTCGAGGGACCAGAGAAACTTAGAGTCTCCTACTCCTCCACCATCTTAACTCATACCCCGCAAAATTGTACTTTTAATATTTAATTTTTATAATAAACCTTACCTTGAAAAGCAATTACAAGACAATCCCATATACCTTTCACCTAGATTTATCCTCTGGTGACATTTTGCTCGATTTGCTTTATCTCTCAAACACATATATGTATATATCTCCCTATAGAATGTAAAATGGTATTTGCATTTTTATTTTTGTTCTCATTCATGGGGTAATTTGCAGAAAACCTGACCCTCTCAGCTAAGTATATCAGCCTGTATCTCTTAAGATTCAGGAACATTCTCCTGCCTTCCCTGGTTGAAAGGGAGGTTACATTCTTTAGATTGACCTCATTGCACTTACCTCTCCCATTCCCAGCGCTTGTCAACCTGCAAACCAAAGATGAGCACATGGGTCACACGAAAGCACTAGAGAGCACATTCTGATATGTGATCATGACCAGAAAACTCCCATAGGTTAACCTACTGATAAAGGAACTGACAGGATAATCAATGTCATTGAGGAAGAATATTCTGTCCAGTAAGTGGCTGCAGTAGCATGACACAGAGAAATAGATTGTCCAGTTGTTGTTTTTGAAAGACTTTTAAAATTGTGATAAAAAATTTATATAACATAAAATTTACCATTTTAACCATTTTTAAGAGTACAGTGCAGTGACACTAAGTACATTCTCATTGTCATGCAACTATTACCACTATCCATCTCCAGAGATTTTTATCATCCCAAATGGAAACTCTACTTTTTAAACAATAACTGCCCATTCCCCCACCTTCAGTCCATGGTAAACACTATTCTACTTTCTGTCTCTATGCATTTGACTATTTTAGGTACCTCTTATAACTGGAATCATATAATATTTGTCCTCTGTGTCTGGCTTATTTCACTTTAGAATAATGTTTTCAAGGTTCATCAATGTTGTAACATGTATCACAATTTCATTCTTCTTACAGCTGAAAACTACTGCATTCTATGAATATGACACATTTTGTTGATCCATCCATCCCTTGATGGACATTTTCACCTCCTGTCTACGTGAATACTGCTGCTATGAACACTGGTGTACAAGTATCTGTTTGAGTCCCTGCTTTTAATGTTTTTGTACATATACCCTGATGTGGAGTTGCTGGATCAAATGGTCATTTTATGATCAACTTTTGGGGGAACCAGCAGCGTTTCCCACAGTGGTTGTAACATTTTACATGCCTACCAGCAATGCACAAGGGTTCCAATTTCTCTACGTCGTGGCCAGCACTTGTTATTTGCTGGGGTTTTTTGTTGTTTGTTGTTTTCTTTTTCTTTCTTTCTTTTTTTAATAATAGCCACTTTAATGGGAGTGAAGTTGTACCTCACTGTGGTTTTGATTTGCATTCTCATAATGATTAGTGATGTTGAGCATGTTTTCATGTATCTATTGCCTATGTGTATATCTTCTTGGGAGAAGTGTCTGTTTGAGTCCTTTGTCCATTTTTGAACTGCATTGTTTTTGTTGTTATTACTGAGTTGTAAGAGTTCTTATAGATTCTGGATATTAATCCCTTATCAGATGTGTGATATGCAGTTTTCTTCTCTTATTCTTTGGGTTTCCTTCTTATTCTGTTGACGGTGTTCTTTGATGCAAAGAAATTATTAATTTTGATGAAATCTTATTTACCATTTTTCCATATTTTGATCATGCCTTTGGTGCCATATCCAAAAAAATCATTGTCAAATTCAGTATCATGAAGGTTTTCTCCAGTGTTTTCTTCTATGAATTTTTGTAGTTTTAGCTCTTATGTTTAAGTCTTTCATATGTTTTGAGTTAAATTTTATACATGGTGTTAAAGTAATGGTCCAACTTCATTCTGTTGCATGTGAATGTCAAATTTCCCCAGCACCACTTGTTGAAAACACTGTGCTTTCCCCATTGAATGATCTTGGCAGGCTTGTCAAAAATCATTTGACCATATGTGGGAGAGTATATTTCTGGTCTCTCTGTTCTATTCCGTTGGTCTATATGTCTATCTTTATGCCAGTACCACACTGTGACTGGACTAATTTTGTTTACGTATCGTTTTCCTGATTTACTTTAGTTCTTTGTGTTTTCTGTTAGCTTTTTGAGCATATTTAAGAAAATTACTTTAGTGTTTGACTAGAACGTGCAATACTTGTGTTTCTTCAGGGATGCTTTCTGCCACATTTGTTTAATTCCTTTGAATGGGCCATATTTTCCTGTTTTTCAGTATGCCTTGTGATTGTTGTTGTTTCTGTTGAAAATTGGTCATTTATGGAAACAGCCACCTTTTCCATTCTTTGCATACCGGTTTTGTGCTAAGGAAGTCTTTGCTAATTAGCTGGGTCTTGGTCTTGAGCCTTAGGATTAACCTAGGGAGAAACCTTAAGGTCTTTTTAGGCCTTTTCTGAGCATGCCATTTCCCTGAGCTTATGTGTGGCTTTTTCAATTTCCCTGTATACATGCTGTTTTTAAATGTCTTGATTATCCTCAGAATCTCTCCCTGGGGCCTTTGATGGTCTATTGTTTGTCTCCACTCTGAAAAGGAAAAAATTCTATTTCTCCTCTAAACGCTATTCTCAGTACTTCACTTCTGGTCACCACATGTATAGGCAATTTTCCACAGTAAGCAATTCTGACACAAACAGTCTGAAGTTAGTGCATGCCCTACAGGTTAAGGGCTCAGTCCCACAAGATGGGGCTCACTTCAGATGCCAAACATAAGTCAAGGGTGTCACCTGTGCTTCTGCCTGGCTATGTTTGCCATCTCTACTCCAGGTTCAATAATTTGCTAGAATAGCTTACAGAACTCATGAGAAACAGTTTACTCACTAGATTACTGGTTTAAAAAAAAGAAGAAAGGAAGGAAGGAAGGAAGGAAGGAAGGAAGGAAGGAAGGAAAAGAGGGAAGGAGCGAGGGGGGGAGAGAGAGAGAGAGAGAGAGAGAGAGAGAGAGAGAAAGAAAGAAAGAAAGAAAGAAAGAAAGAAAGAGAGAAAGAGAAGAAAGAAAGAAAGAGAATACAACCCCGGAACAGCAAGATAAAAGCGATGTATAGGGCAAGGTATCAAGAAAAGGGTGTGGAGCTTCCATGCTCTCTCTGGGCACACCACCCTCTGAACACCTACACATGTTCACCAACCCGGAAGCTCTTTAAACTCCTTCAGTTAGGGTTTTTTTAATGTAGTCTTCATTAAATAGGCATAATTGAGTAAATCATTGGCCATTGGTGATTAACTCAACCTTCAGCCCTCTCTCCTCCTCAGAAGTCGGGAGATGAGGCTGAAAGTTCCAACTCTCTAATCACATGGTTGGTTCCCCTGGCAACTAGCCTTCATTTGGTGGTTATCCAGGGGCTCTCCAAAATCATCTTATTAACATAAACTTGGTTGTAGTTGAAAGGTGCTTATTATGTATAACAGAAGTCACTTCTTTCACCTTTCACTCTGTAATTTTTTAGGAACCAGGGACAAAAGACCAAATATTATAACAAAAGTTACTTCCATTACTTTCATCACTTGGGAAATTAAATGTGTTTTGGAAGCTGTGTGTCAGGAGCAGGGACAAAGACCAAAAACATACTTCTTATTGTAAATCACAATATCACACACTCATAATATCTTGCCAGCTCTGTCTCCCTTCAGCTTTCCCAAGTAATGCCGCTTGTTTCTCCCTGACCAAGATCTGAATTAGGTGAAACAAAGACCAGTCCTTCAGGCAGCTCAGAACAGATTAGAACATTATAAACATAGTTTGCTCTGCTCCATCTAGTCTAAAGGAGGGAAGTGGGAACTGAACTACTTCCTAAGATGGTCTGTTTTATGTCTTCACTGGTAATCTCTTGCCCCAGGCATCTGCAGATCCATCTCTCTCTAGTTCATGAACAATACCCAGGACCAATGCCAGTGCTTCTTTCCATATGAAATCCAAGTTATACCACTGCATTCCTAGCCCCTACCCCTGCCTGAGATCCATGTGACACAAAACAGAGATCTGAAGAGGTAAACCCCAAACAGGTTAGAACACTGTGAACAAGGTCTGCTCTGTTCCCTCTGGGTCAAGGGAGAAAAGTGGGAACTGGGTTGCCACCTACTCCAGGCCAAGACTAATACCACACCAGGGAGTGTGTGGGCCAAGGACAAGCAAAAACACCACAGAATTTCCTACCATTTTAATGTGTTTTTTTTTTTCTTGATTGGGTGTTTGTTTGGTTGCTTTAGACCTTTGACTGCTTTTACAGCACTACTATAAGATTATTCTAGCCAATATTTTGATTTTTGATATCTCCTTGGGGAAACAAGAGCTTAGAGATTCCCAGCTTGCCATTTTGTTCAACTGTCTAGGTTTAATCCTGGCTTTATGACTTACTCAGCTTTTGTGAGACTCATTTAACTTATTTGCAAAGTGGGTACAATAATTTCTAACTTGTAGGTTCTCCTAAGTATCAGTGAGGCTGGGTATGTAAGGGATGTGTCACAGGGCCTGGTATATTGTAGGCCCTCAGTGATAGTAACAGTTGCTTGAATTTTATTATGACTATTGAAGCAAAACTTTGGAGAATAATAATACACTATCTTTTATCACTAATATCATCAGAGATTTGGGGCAAAAATAGAGGAAGCCCTCTGCAGTCTGCTAATTGTGGGTTACATTTTGTTCTATAGAAATCACAGAAGCTTCACCTAGTCCTAAACTGATGCATGTTTTGGATAACTCTAAGTCAGAGAATGACTTTGTAATCTTATTTCTACTAGGAGGCTTTTCTAAGCTGGCAGGTTGCCATGGTATCTGGACCCACTATGACGGCCCCCATTTGTCTGGTGGAAAACAACAATATGCGCCTGTCAGTGAACCACACAGCTATACAGATCCTTGAAAGGATTTCTCAACCAGTAGTGGTGGTGGCCATTGTAGGACTGTATCGTACAGGCAAATCCTACTTGATGAACCGTCTCGCAGGAAAGAACCGAGGTGAGTGTTGTACTCAGTCTGGGGCCAACTGATTATCTCTAGCTATATCTCTTAGACCTTTAGTTTTCTTCCCTGGGCACGTGAAAGGAGAACCAAACTCCTCTCAGTCAACCGACCTTCCACTTCTAATTCTCACTAATTACTCTTATTGTAATCGGTTATCACACCGTTTTACTACTGCTAAGGAAAATCTCTCCTACTAATGCTCAGGATCCTACCTTTTTAACCTGATCAAGTACTGGGCTCTTATCATTGCATCTCCTCTCTCTCTTGAAACACATTTGCTTTTTTATGGGATAGTCCCATCAACATATAAAGATGTTTGAATATTTATTGAGGAGGGATAGAAGCAGAAAAATGTTCACCTTTGGCCCAGAAGGCTGACCTGTAGCCTGCATAGTTCCTATAAGGTTCAAACACGTGCTGGCTGCTACATTCTGAAAGGGTCTCCTGGCTGCCTGTGCGTCTCACCAATAGTTGATATTGAACTGAATGACAAGCACCAGAGAAATCTTGTGAGGATAGTTTTAGGAATAGAAATTCGTGGAAACATTTATGATCTAATACTCCCTGCACATGGAGCAGCAAGCACTTAACTGTCAGCTTCATACAGCAAAAGTACAGCTCTTTCTGCCCACGGGTCCTGTCCCCGTGCTACTTGAATAAACTTACTAAGTTGCACCATGAAGCATCTCAAGAATTCTTTCTTGATGTTTGCGCTCAATGATCCCACAACAACTATCATCTTAAAAGTTTTTCTTGGATTTCACATCCCAGTGTAACTACCAACCCTCCTCCCCTCTTTTTTTTTTTTTTTTATCACATTGGCAAAACATATGATCTCCATTTCCTTTTTCCACTTTTCCTTTTCCCATGTCTCTCTTTAATCCACTGCTCTCTGGCTTCTTGCCTCACCATTCTTTCAAAATGCTTATTGGTGGTTATCAATCATCTCCAATTTCTTCTGATTCATGAATGCCTAATGCCTTTTTTTCCTATTTGCAAATATATGTATTTATTAATTTTTATTATTATGTTCTGTTAGTCATGAATGCCATTCTCTCCATCTTGAGCCGTGGCCTGGCATCATTCTCAGGGTTAACACCTCCTCCTCCTTGAGAGAGATGACAAACACAAAGTAGGACATTCTTGAGGAAATCGAGAAAGAACCATCTTGTATGCGGGGGTACTTGTTTATGTTCCAGAAAGTCTGACTTTGTAAGCCTTTGGCTGCTTAGATAAATCTCCTGTCACCATATGTTGTCTTCTCCCCTCCCCTCCCAGGTTTCCCTCTGGGCTCTACAGTGCAGTCTAAAACCAAGGGCATCTGGATGTGGTGTGTGCCTCACCCCTGCAAGCCAACCCACACCCCCACACCCTGGTCCTTTGGGATACTGAGGGTCTGGGTGATGTGGAAAAGGTAAGGCAGGCAGTCACAGATAAATTCTTTTTATTCTGGATTTGCTCCTTACCTCTTCATGATGTTTTGTAATTTCACTGCTGTGATCTATCTGCAAAATCTAGAAATCCAACTATAGTAAATGAGGCATGCTTGTTTTTTGAATCTCACTTCTAGGTAAGATATCATGGTACATTAGATAAAATCTTTTGTTTTTTGGCACCGTGTGAACTATTTGATTAAATTTAAGAAACAATTATTGAATAGCTGAGTTGCAGCCTCCTGGCTTAGTACTGTAGATATGAGTCACCACAGTAAAGGTCCTGTCCTCAAAGCATCTTCAGTCCAGTTGAGAAGACCACACATATGCAGCCAGATTTAATAAAATTTGATTGGGAAAGAAGCAAGTTGGGAAAGAGGAAGAAGTTGCACTGCAATGCAATTGCTGAATTCTGTCAATTCCATGGGTTTTCTGTGGCTTGGGATGGCTCTTTTGAGTTATCCTGAGTTGGGACAAGGGTGCTGATAAATCACTGAAAGCCTGCTCTGGAAGCCTTTTTAATTAAAGGGACTGGCACTTGAGAGCTGTCTTCCATCAGCACTCCCACTAGCTGGGGGAATCAGTCTTTCAATTTTATAAGATGATCTGGGCAGCACAACATAGTGGCGCCACATATGTGAAGCATAAGGGTGCCTTGGTGGGAAAGAGGAGAAACATCAACTCCGTCCCAGGAGAGGAAATATTTCTGATTCATTTTCCAGATGAAGTGTGTGTTTGAGGTATGGAGTTAAGAGTCGGGTTTACATTTCCTATGGTAACGTTCATCAGCTACCCAAAGAGCATTCTGGAAGGCTGTGAGATACCTCTGAATGTGCTGGTTCTATAAAAGCATATGTTTGCCCTATAACACACAATTTCAGATGGATTTTTGATACTTTGATTTTCTACTAATGGGTGAAATGAATGATTTCTCCTTTTCTGCCTTACTTTTTGACTTATTTGGAAATGGTATCTAAATTTCTGTAGCTCTCCATTTCTGCCCAAAGAGTAGTTAGAAATTCTGTGTTTATTTAATTTTTCTATTAATTTTTTATTTGTGGAAATCAGTATGAAGGTTTCTCAAAAAGTTAAAAATAGAAATACCATATGTTCCATTAATTCCACTACTGGGTATTTACCCAAAGAAGATGAAAACACTAATTCAAAAAGGTATACGCACACCTATGTTTACTGCAGCATTATTTACAATAGCCAAGATATGGAAGCAACCTAAGAGTCCATTAATAAACAAATGGATAAGGAAGATGTGGTATAAATACACAATGGAATATTACAAGGACATCAAAAAGGATGAGTTGTGCCATTTGCAACAACATGGATGGCCCTGGCGAGTATTATGCTAAGTGAAATAAGTCAGACTGAGAAAGATAAATACCACATGATTTCACTCATATGTGGAATCTAAAACACACACACACACACACACACACACACACACACAAATGAATTAGCAAACAAAAAGCAGAATCAGACCTGCTGAGAACTGTGTTTCTTGATGGCTGTATTCAACCATTGAACACTCAGCTCAAGGCTTCCAGTAAGCCTTCATAAAATATACTATTTCTCCAACTTTCATAGTTCTACTCTTCCTTGATAATATTCTAAATTTTCATTTCTATTATAGCTATAGGTTCCATTGCTTATGTACATTACTAAGATGTAAGATTACTAATATCTTTATAGATATTGTCATCTTTGTTACATTCATTGTTATGGATGTTTGTCACCACCTTGAAATAGTCGCCTTGAATGTAACAATTGCCATTTTCAAGTTCGCTTTTTAAATATAAGAGCAGTGAGATACATTCAGTAGCTTCCTATAAACATTTGTTGAATTTAATTACATATAATTTGAATCCCCAGTTATGGCAATTATGGTATATTTTATATAGCTATATGTAGAATGAATAAATGCTAACACTCATCATTGCACACCAGGTACTGTACTATTTTTTCTATATATGTTACTTTATTTCATCCAATTGAGGAGAAAGCTCTGTGAAGACTAGAATTTTTTATATACGAAGGACTCACAATCACGAAAAATGTCTTTGTAATTGTCAAAGTTGATATCTTTATCTATGTCTGTCTTCAAACTTATTTCTTTGCATGGCAAGTATGTTAGCTGAAATAATAAATGAAAGACTGATAGAATAAGTGTCTGAATGAATTTCTAAAGACTAAACTCCCAAAACTCTTGCTCTAATGTGCTTTCTAGGGTGACCCTAAGAATGACTCATGGATCTTTGCCCTGGCTGTGCTTCTGAGCAGCACCTTTGTCTACAACAGCTTGGGCACCATCAACCACCAGGCCCTGGAGCAGCTGCAGTATCCTTCCAGGGACCAAGCCACCATGTTTCATTAAGTTGATGGGAATAGAGATCAAGTTAGTTTTTCCTTCCCTGTCACTTAGCTGTCTTTGGTGGAGCAGAGGGGAACCAAGGCAAAAGAGAGGGTTTATAGTAATTTTTTGTTAGAGAAAAGTGGGAATGATGGGCGGGAACTTCCTTTTCCTTAACTATGCCCTAGTTATGTGACAGAGCTCACAAAACTAATCAGGGCAAAGTCCTCCCCAGAAGAGGATGGAACAGAAGATTCCACAGAGTTTGTGAGTTTCTTTCCAGACTTTACCTGGGCTGTAAGGGATTTCACCCTGGAGCTGAAGTTAAATGATCATCCTATTACAGAAGATCAGTATCTGGAGAATGCCTTGGAGCTGACTGAATGTATCAGAACATGGCCTGGACAGTGGATGGTCCAACAGAGCATGGGAGCTACTAAACACAGTCCATTATCTTTGGGATTGCATTGAAGTCTGTAGAAATGGTGACTTGAGGTTGGGTTGAAAAGCTCTAGGAACTGGAGTTTAAGTTCACCCAAGAAAAGGAGAGCCTAGGCTAGTATGAAATTATTCAAAACTGATTTGTTCTTTAAACAATGGCTAATTTAGCTACCAGACTTCAGTGGGTGCTTAAACTTTCCAAAGACCAGACACATGTGCCTTACTTTGGCTTCTGTTTTTCTGTGTTGAAGGAAACAACTGACTGAAACACATTAGGCATGAAATTACAAGGAAAATCAATATATTTCTATGTATACAAAATAGTTCAATAAAAATATATTTTACAATTAGATATTAATCTTCTCAAAGAAGGATATAATTTTCTAATGCCTGTATAGAAATATCACATAAAAAAATGACTGTGTATTGTAAATAAACCTGAAGAAGTATGACTTTTCAATCTATATCTTTTCAATATTTCTGAAAATTATCAGAACATTCATTTTACTGTCTATATCATAGTTTTCTCTTAATTCTCATATATTTATCCATGTTATAATTTTGAAATAATAAATTATTTTAATGGGTTACATTTATAATGGTATATATTTCATTAAACCTTGAGAAAAGATCATTTTTGATTTATTCATTCCTGCTTTTAGTTTTCTACTTATACTTTCCCAAAACATTTAATGAGAAACTTGCTTGGCAGAATCGCAATGCTGTTAAATCAAGTCTAGTCCTTTACCTCAAGTAGTCTGTGGAGTAGTGGTGACATCCTAAAATCACATTTTAGTTACATTTATTCTTCCGAGGTTTTTGTGAAGTAAAATAGCTGACATTATGCAAATTATTTCTAGCATCAAAGCAATTTTCCTTAAATAGCCACAGGGCCTGAGTATTCCCAATACTGTTGTTCCTAATACTGTTCCATTATCCCTTGACTGTGGCTCTTCTTGGTCTCATAGCTCAGTTTCTACATTAGACCAAAAAGTTCCATTCGACCTTCCATTCTTTTAGCCATTCATTCAGTAAACATCTAATGGACAACTGTACCACCATTTTCAGGTCTGGAGTTATGAGCCATAGGTTTCTTTTACCTGGATCAGATGTCTCCCTTAATTTCTCTCCAGAATTCCACACTGGTAGGAGTTTGATGTTCAAGGAAGTATTGAATGTCTATGTTAAAGGTGTTTCAAGCATAGGAGACAGCAAGGAATCAAAATCCCTGTCATAAAAACCATTAGCTCCCTTGCCTCAAGACTGTTACCACAGTAATCTGTTGCTCCTATCCCTCAGGCAACAACCCCAGAATCAAAGAATTTAATCTACCCAGAGAGTACATGAGGTATTTCTTTCCAAAATGGAAGTGTTTTGTGTTTCACCAGCCAATAAATGACCCCAAACTCCTAGCCAATATTGAGAATATGCCTGAATATCAACTGGATCCTAAATTCCAGACACAAGCAATCAATTTTTGCTCTTACATCTTTACCGAGGCAAGGACTAAGACTCTCAGAAAGGGAGTTGTGGTCACCGGGAATCGTGAGTCTTCTTTTCCTATTTCTATGGGGCCTAATATATGTAAAATATATTATATAATATGTTTTTCAGCATTTTGTTTGATTCTATATGGAATTTTGGGTATACACACATTCACACACCATGAAGAGATGTGTATATTTTATAATTATCTCACTTTTAGGGGTTTACAAATCCCTCTCCCAAACTGCACGCTTTGTCACTGATACCTATGGCATCTACTTATCTAAAAAAATCCTCTACTGATAAAAATAAATCACTAACTGGGTATAAGAACAGAATATCTGTTTTAGTTTTTGTTTTTGTTTTCCCAAGGCAAGTCCTATCTGATAAGTGTTATTTGCAAAAAGAATACAAAAAAATATTTGGGGAGTTTAGAGCAGTCCAAAAATAAATATTAGCTCATGAATCAGTAAAAATCCATTGGAAGCTTCAGAATTAGGAATAAAATAATCTGATTAGCCCTGCCTCATCTGTCTACCTATATAATCTACTTTGCTTTTAATTTTTTTAATGGGAAATTATGTTTTCCAGATACCATTTAGTATGTTAGAGGAAGGGGTTTAAAAAAATTTTTTTTGAGCCATGTGGCCTGGAGAACCACAAAATTAAGAGCCAATAGGAAAACAAAAGTGAAGATAGAAGAAGGCAGGGCTGTGTGTGTAAGGGGGGTTTGGGTGTGTGTGCATAAGTGTGACTTCAGAAATGTAGTCTCAGAGTCTAGTATCCTATATTTATCCCTTCAACATCCTGGCTCATTCAGGGTTGAGGACTTCGGTGGTGACCTATGTGGATGCCATCAATACTGGAGCAGTGCCTTGTCTGGAGAATGCAGTGACAACTCTAGCCCAGCTTGAGAACTCAGTGGCCATGCAGAAGGCCTCTGACCACTACAGCGAGCAGATGGGCCAGCGACTGAAACTCCCCACAGACACACTCCAGGAGCTGCTGGATGTGCATGCAGACTGTGAGAGGGAAGCCATTGCAGTGTTCATGGAGCACTCCTTCAAGGATGACAAGCGGGAGTTTCAGAAAAAGCTGGTGGTAATGTGTCTTAGTATTTACTCTTTGGGACCCTTCCGTTTAAAGAATGAAACCTAGAAGTACCTTTATTGACCCCATGGCTCATCTCTTAGTCAAGGATAAAGAAATCTGGATTCTCATGAGAAACAGAGTTTCAAAGGACTATATTTTCTTCTTTTATCTTTCCTCCCAAACCTGAGGCACTTTGTCTAGAAACCTCTCTTATCTCTGAAGTAAAATCAATATAGATATCTTTCTGACCTGAATATCTCTATGGATTCTAAGCCTGCCCAGAACACCTAAAAGTCTTTCCTGAGCATGGATGCTTTCTGGCAACACACTCCCACTGTCAGGAAACAAATTTTCTCTCATCACACCCTCATTCCAGGCCATTTTCAGTTTACATTGCTCCTTGTTGTATCACCATATCACTGAAGATAAAATCACTGAATGCTCCAGTTGCAAGGAGCCATAGAGATTAGGTAATACAACTCCAACATTTCAGAAGAACCAGGGAGGTTAAGAAACTTGCCCATAGTCTTGCAGAGAGTATTCAAGGTTGTGAGTAAATCAAGTCTTGTGAATCCTGTTTTATTCCATGTCCTTCTCCAACAGAATGCTTTTCTCATGAGGACCACGGTTAGACCAATCCTTTTACCAGATTCTTTGGAATGGTATCTTTTTTCTGTTCCTTTCTTCAGGTGATATCCCCCTACTTTTCCCTTGTAGTAACTCATAAAGGATAAGAAGGAGCATTTCTTGCAGCAGAATGAAGAGGCATCCATTGAATACTGCCAGTCTAGGCTTGATCAGCTTTTACAGGTCCTAATGGAAAGTATTTCAGCAGGAACTTTCTCTGTTCCTGGAGGGCACGAGCTCTACAGGGAAGCAAAGGAAAGTATTGAGTGGAACTATTCACAAGTGCCCAGGAAAGGAGTGAAGGTGAGGAATAGGGGAGCATGGGGGGCCTACAGAATAGAGCCAAAAGGGTCTCCAGATAATCTGAGAGCACAGCGCCAGTTGTGGGTGATAAACAGCATGGGGATATTGTGACAGCTTTAACTTTGAAGGACCACTATTTGTTACTGATTCCTGAGGAGATTGGATAAATACATTCCCAAAAATTGAGTACAGATATCTGAAATCCACAAAAGATAGAACAGAAATTGCTCATTTCTTCATCCAACAACACAACATTGAATATGCCAAGTGCAGACAATTTATAAGTTAAAGTTAGAGTCATTGTACTTAATTATGATCAAAAGTAAGAGAGGAAGTCAAATACACAGACAATTGCATACAAAGTTATAACACATATGAACCTGTGAAAATGGCCTCCATATTATGCATTATGGAGCTATAGAAAAGATGAGATCATGCCATCTGAGACAACATAGTAGACCTAAAGGATATTACACTAAGTGAAATAAGTCAGACTGAGAAAGACAAATACGATATGATTTCACTCATAAGTGGAATCTTAAAAAAAACACCCACAAATGAATAAGCAAACAAAAAGCAGAATCAGACGTATAAACAGAACAAACTGATGGTTGCCAGAAGAGAGGGGATTAGGAGAATGGACAAAATGGGTGAAGGGGAGTGGGAAATACAGGCTTCCAGTTATGGAGCTGAATAAGTCATGAGAATAAAAGGCACAGCATAAGGAATATAGTCAATGATACTGTAATATCGATGTAATGAGACAGATACTGGCTACACTTGTGGTGAACATAGCATAATATATAAACTTGTTGAAACACTATGTGGTACATCTGAAACTAATGTAACACTGTGTGTCAACTACACTCCAATTTGAAAATATATAAATAAAGAAAGAAAAGAAAATGGGCTATATAGGTTGTGGTAACAAATATAATAATAATTTAACAATAATGATAATAATAATGCAACTAATATATATTGGACTCTTATTTCCTATAGGCATAATGTAAAGCTGTTTCCCTAGATTCTTTAGCTTAATCCTTTCAACATTAAGAAACATCTACATTTATTGTCAACATTCTACAGATCTGAACTGAGAGGCACAGGCAGGTTAAAATAGCTTGCCTAAAGTTAAAGTCAGTAAAATAACAGAGGAGAGCAACAGTACAAATTAGAGGCAACATTAGAAAGCAAATACATAAAACACCAGAGATTGTGGATTTATAGAACTGAACATAGTTCTGACTGGCTGGAACCCAGAGTGGGGAGAAGGAAGTAGCACTGGGGGACAGCCTGCAGGACACAGGAAGCAGGAGATACGGAGTCTGTGGCCACACTAAGGCGCTTGCACACCTTGTAGGGAGCCACTGTAGAATTTTAAGCATGAAGCACAAATTACATGGACATACTTGTTTTTGCAGCACTAATCTCCATAGTGGAACTCTAAGTTCTTTGCTCCTTCTTGGTTCCTCAGGCAAATGAGGTCCTCCAGAGCTTTCTGCAGTCGCAGGCTTCAATAGAGAAATCCATCTGGCAGGCAGATAAAGCCCTCACTGACAGGGAGAAGGCCATAGCAGGTATGGGGCAGGGCTTGGCTCACAATGGGTTGGGTAGCTCCCTCTGTCAGGTGTGAGGGCAAAACAAGGAGCTTCCTCTATTTGGAACAACTCTGCTAAATCTAAAAACAAGGGGAGTTGTGGTTGTATGTCAGCCAGACAGGGCCTTTCTCCAAATATTCCAAAATGTGCTTCCGGTGGTGTGGACATGAAGAATTCAGAGATTTTCCACCTTCCTTTCCAATCTGGTTTTGTCTCTGAGCTTAGAAAGATAGAGATCAATCCTCACTTAATTTTCTTCCCTCTCCAAACTTTCCTGTGGCAGCGGAGCGAGTCAGCAAGGAGTCAGCTGAGAGGGAACAGGAGCTGCTAAGACAGAAACTACTGGAGCAGCAACAGCAGATGGAGGCTCAAGAAAGGACTCTCCAAGAAAATATAGTCCAACTGAAAGAGAAGATGGAGAAGCAGAGAGAAAACATACTAAAAGAACAGAATATGATGTTGGAGCATAAGCTGAAGGTAAGTCTGGCCATGGCCTTGGTAATGCTCAGTGGTCCTTCTTCTGGTACCTCCGGAAAAGATGGGTGAAGGCTACAGGGATGGAGCTCAGGACGTACCATTGCCATTAATTGCTTGTGACTTATTAAAACCCGGAATTCTTTGATTCATCTCCTCTCCCTCTGCCTCTTCTTCCCTTTCTCCTTTCCCTTCCTGCATCCCCTCCTCTTCCTCTTCCTCCTCTTCCTCTTCCTGCCCCTTCCCCTCTTCTTCTTCCTTCTTTTCTAAAGAAGCCTTTGGTGTCCAATCTGTACATAGACTCTGGAGAGTTCAAGATGAGTATGGTCCCTCCAAGCCCTTGGAGAATATAAATAGCATTTGAGTTGCTATTTGGGGGATTTTTAAATGATCTCATGAGACTTGATTAAATAGATATTCCAACCATATGTATTTAATATGAGCAGCAACTGGTTTGCTTTATCAAGATCATTGACAATTATCTGAACTCTACTGCTGCCCAAAGACCCTGAGATAGATCTATGCTGACATAAAACTATCAGAAATGTACAGACTTAAAAACACAGGGAAGTGACAGTTTCTAAACTTGTTATATTGTCTCCAGGTATGGGTAGTTTACCCAAGTTATCAAATGGCATTGGGAGGAATTCTCTCATTGTCCATGAGGACAATGTTTATAACACATTTCTAGAAGAGATTATAAGTTCCCATCATTTCTACTATTTGGGTGACCATACCAACCTAAATGGAACTAAGAGGTAGTGCAATTAGACCAAGGCTACCTTTTACTGACATTTTTTGATTGAAACATGTTACATTTGTCCTCATATCAAGCTTAGCATCCTAGGAAAACCTTAATGGTGTGTGAATATTAGGAAGGCTTTATATTATGATTCCTCTCAATGTTTATGTCCAAGCCAGGAGATATTCCTCATTGCTAAATTCTCCTTTCAGGATTAAAAAAGAACAATTTTAGGAGTAAAACAAAGATAGTTTGACCAAGTTTTTATATACGTAGTGTAATTCTTAAAAAAAAAAAAGATAATTTTAACAATTTTACTTTCTTACTTTTTGGTTAGGTCCAACAAGATCTACTTAATGAAGGATTTAGAAAGAAATCTGAGAAGATGAATGCAGAGATAAAGAAGATGAAATCTAGGTTGATGCTACTAAAAATACTAACTGGTTCACACAAGCTGTGGAGGGACTGGGCAATGACATTGTTAAAATAGTTACTGCCCCTGTTAGATTTCTTGATAGCATGGTGAGTGGTGTGAGCTCACTATTTTTACAAGAATTAACTCTCCTTTTAAAGAAATTAAAGAATGTGGCTATATACTCTGGCCTATTTTTGGTGCTTATGCTTTTCACTTTTATTCAGCAAAGTTTTAAGTATAAAAAATGCCTACAAGAGGATATCAATGCTTGGCCCACATTAGATAGAATAAATGCATGTACACTTTGATATAGCATATTAACTTTTAGGAAATACACACGAACAAAATTGTAAATATATATAAAATCCACTGAGGCATCACTTTAAATGGCAAAAGATTGCTTGATTTGATTATTGAAATATCTCTCTATATAAATTGGTCATATAAATTGAAATGTGCATACACTGGAGTACTATGTAGCCAGTGTCCTGGGGAAATGGGAATGCCCAAACATCTCGTGGACTCTTGCCATCAGGATCCAAGTCGGTAGTGACACTCAGATATCAGAAAGACATCACAGTCTCCATGTTAGAATAGGGGCACATGGGATACAGGTAATAAATGCAGTCCTGGACCAGGAGCAGCTAAATGGGGTCTAATACTGGTTTTCAAGTAAGAGTAAAGTTCACCTGAGAACAAGAACCACTACATATTTTTCTGTACATCTCCTCAAAGTATGTTTAGGCACAGAATGTACTAAATAAGCATCTCCTGGAAAAATAAAATGTTGACACCTCCATGATTGTTTTCAATTGTCAGAATTCTACAAACACTCCAAAGGTCTGAGTTAATAGACAGTTTGGATTTTAGACACCAGATTATGGTCTCCAAGATGATTTAAAGGCTAGCAGAACAAAACAAACTTCTGGTGGAGTCTCCTACTCTGTAACCTTGTGTATTACCATACCTTTGTCTCTGTGAGGATGTTAACACACCTCCAGTGAAGATTTTAAACTGATCCACCTAGCTGTGGCTTCAAACGTTGAGAAGGAAGAATGGCTTTGCCTTCTTAAGAAAGAAACATGTAATCATGAATATGTGGCCAATAAATGGTATGGTTTAATGGAAAAGCAAGCTATTCTACAGAAATATCTGTTCTCATCGAGAGGTTGAATCAGATGTTTGATAACCTGGGTGTAGAGACACCCCAATCTGAAGAACAAAAGGAAAAAAAAGCTTGCTTTTTTAGATTCCCCATATAAGTGAGATCATACACTACTGTCTTTCTCTGTCTGACTTATCTTACTAGCATCTTGTGCTCGAGGTCCATCCATGTTGTAGCAAATGGTGGGATATCCTCTTTTACCATGGCTGAATAATATTCCATTGTGTGTATATACCACATCTTTTTAAATCTATTCATCCACTGAAGTTCATTTAGGTTGTTTCCATATCTTGGCTATTGTGAATAAGGCTATGATTAATATGGGGATGCATATGTCTCTTTGAAATATTGTTTTCATGTCTTTTCAATAAACATTAACCATGTGTTGATCACCTAAAAATAAAAATGTTTTCAAAAGTAGTTATCAATTTATTCACATGTGTATTCTAATATTCATTAAAGAACTCTTAGTTTTAATAATTTGTACTGTTTACTAAACACCTATTCTCTCCCGGCCATTGTTTTGGATTCTGTGAGGACAGGAAAGTAAAGATCTTGTCCTCATGCAGCTTACACTCTAGAGGGACCTTACACAATGTTATTTGGCAGTAATAGAGGCTGTGAATGTATATACATATTTATGTTTTTTTTCTGGATAGTGATTAAGATTCAGAGTAGAAACCAACATTCTGCCTGTAAGTTTAGCTTCAATTCAATTCATATTGGCTGAAAATATAATTGTTTGTTTCTTCAGGAAATATTATTGAGTCCTAAGAACCAATACAATCACATTAAAGCACAGTAAAACCCAGGGTTCATGGTGATTGAAAGAATGAATAAATAGTTGAATGATTGTGTGAATAAGGGTAACATCTGTTTATCATTTCAAAAGGTAATAAATATCTCTCCTATTGCTTTTAGTGAAAAATGTAAACACTTAACTTTGAAATGTTGTGTTCTTGGATCTGATGGAACCAAACCACAGACAGGTTCCCAAGTAGCAGGATTACATTAATAGTCTGATGCAGGTTCTCTCTCTCTCTTTTTTTTTTTTTTGTAAAGATTTTATTTATTTATTTGAGAGAGGGAGAGAACAAGGGAGAGAGGGAGAAGCAGGCTCCCCGCTGAGGCGGGAGCCTGATGTGGGACACGATCCCAGGACCCTGGGATCATGACCTGAGCTGAAAGCAGACGCTTAACCAAATGAGCCACCCAGCGGCCCCTGATGCAAGGCTCTTGATAACTGGATGGTGGGAGGGAAGTATAATGTGAAAGCTCTCTCACAGGGCAGGGCTTGGGCTTTATAGCTCCAAAGCCAGAATCCCAGAGTAAGCTGAGGGCCAAAGGTTTCTGACCTTCAGTAAATGCTCAAAGTGGTTTTCCCTCTTAGGTCTAAGTGATTATCAGAAGTAAATATATTTGTTAAAAATGAGCTCTTGAGTTTTTCTCAGCCCTTTTTCTCATAGATACTATTTTCTATCTCTCTAATACCAATATCTGGGGTGGACATCAATGTTGGTCTTCTCCTGTTTGCTCTGAGGTCTGTCCCATTCTCTTTCCTGATGCTCTCTACTGCAGTAGAAATGGCACCAGCCCACCATATCCCATTTCTACTTTTTGCAGCCTTCCTGCTGGGTTCAGCAGAGGTAGCAGGCACTAGATGAAATGGAAAGTAATCAAGTTGAGCAAAAGAGAGAATAGAGAATTATGCCAACAAGAATAGACTTAGGGAACTTAGTGACTCCCTCAAATGTAATAACATTTGCATTATAGGAGTCCCAGAAGAAGAGAGAGAAAAGGGGGCAGAAAATTTATTTGAAGAAATAATAGCTGAAAACTTCCCTAATCTGGAGAAGGAAACATATCCAGATCTGGGAGACAAAGTTAACCCCCAATAAAATCAACAAAAGCAGATCCATACCAAAACATATTATAATTAAATGGCAAAATATAGGGGTAAGAAAAATTATTAAAAGCAGCAAGACAAAAGAAGATAGTTATATACAAAGGAGTCCCTCATAAGGCTATCAGTGGATTTTTCAGCAGAAACATTCCAAGTCAGAAAGGAGTGGCATGATATATTCAAAGTGCCGAATGAGAAAAATCTGTGGCCAAGAACACTCTATCCTGCAAGGCTGTTATTCAGAATAGAAGGAGAGATAAACAGTTTCTCAAACAAACCAAAACTAAAGGAGTTCATGACCACTAAAGCAGACCTATAAGAAATATGAAAGGGGAATCTTTGAGTGGAAAGGAAAGACCAAAAATGACAGTGTGAAAGGAGGAAACACAAAAGCAGTAAAAATGAATACTTCTGTAAAAAAAAAACAAACAGTCAAGAAACTCACAAAATTAAAGGATGTAAAATATGACACCATATATCTAATACATGGGAGGAGAGGAGGAAAGAATGGGTTGAAACTTTAACAACCATCAACTCAATATAGACTTCTATATGCAGAAAATCTTATATGCAAACCTAATGGTAAAATCTACTAACAATGGTAAAATCAAAAACTAACAAATATGCAAAGAGAAAAGAGAAAGAAATCCAAATATATCACTAAAGAAAACCAGCAAACCATGAAAGAAAGACAAGAAAGGATCAGAGAAAATCCTCAGAAACAACCACAAAACAAGTAATAAAATTGCAATAAATATATATCTATCAATAATTACTC